TGTTCGACACAGTCTAAAGTCTCCCCCAAGCACCTCATGAGTGGCACGACACACTGAGGACGACTCTTGCGGCTCTTGAGTTTGCTCCTTTGACTGCTGACCCATCGCTGTTTCTGCGCACCGACCCTTCGCTGCCGCCGTTCTACATCCTCGTGTACGTCGAAGACTTGGTTTTTGCCACTGCTGATACTGAGGCACTGGCCCTTGTGAAGTCGGAGCTGCAAAAGAGACACACGTGCACAGACCTTGGTGAGCTGCATAGCTATCTTGTCTTGCAGAACACTCGGGACAGAGCAAGGCGCACCATCACCCTGACTCAGTCACACATGGTGCAGTAGGTCCTTCAGCGCTTCGGCTTCCGGTTCTCCTTGCCACAGTCCACTCCTCTGCCTACCGATCACTCGCTCTCAGCTCCACCTTTGGACGAGTCCGTAGAGCCGAGTGGCCCATATCCAGAGCTTGTGGGCTGCCTCATGTATCTAATGACCTGCACTCGAACTGACCTCGCCAACCATCTTAGCATCTTGGCACGCTACGTTGCGCCCGGGAGACACCGACTAGAGCACTGGGAGGGCGCTAAGAGGGTGTTGCACTACTTGTGCAGTACATCGGGCATGGGGCTCGTGCTTGGAGGACAGGGTCCAGTTGTCCTCACTGGACACCAGATGCATCTTGGGTTGACGATTTGGCTACGCAGCGGTCGTCACAGGGTTACACATTCAGCCTTGGCTCCGGTTATGTTTCCTGGCGGTCTACCCGCTCGTCTTCTGGCTGCACAGGAGTTACGCTGGCTCATCTATTTGCTGACTTACTTGGGAGAGCGACCTCGTTCTCCTCCAGTTCTATACATACACAACAAGGCCATGATTGCCTTGTGTTAGGAGCACAGACTGGAGCACAGGACAAAGCACATCGCTGTGCGTTACTTCCTTGCGAGAGAGCTGCAGCAGCGTGGACAGCTTCGTCTTGCTTACGTGACCACTCAGGCCAACACTTCTGATATATTCCCCAAGGCACTTAAGTCTGGAGATCATCAGTGTTTCTGTACTGCTTTAGGCCTTCTGCGTGCTTTGTATCACTTTCTCACTTTGTGACTTTGCTTTTCTTGACTGGTCTTGTGACCCCTTGTTCTCCCCCACTTTGCCTATGGGGGTGTGTCAAACTATTATTATGTTTAGGTTGTGTAGGCTGTAGTGGGATACAACCTAATTAGGGTTAGTACTTGTACCACCTTTCTTCTCAATGCATTCATTCCCGTTCAGTATCTTTACATGCACGTGATGCGGTCTTGGGGAACGGCTTATTGAAGGGACGGTGTACTAGTTTAGTACGCATAGTAGGGAACAAGTGTGGGGCATGTAGAGATGGTCTTGCGTCGGACAACACATTGCGGAGCCATCTGTACCGCAATGACACGTGCCGAGACACGCTGCTCGAGAGATTAGAGAGTCAGGCAACAGAGACGTTGGCGGAGGCATCGGCGGCATTGGGACACGGTCCGCAGCAGTCCAATAGTGAGTCCGGACTGATACATTACAAACATACAAGAGCATCGGCAGTCGTTACCGTAACGGGAAGGGGAGGGGGTAAAATAACCAGTATTGCAGATCCCATCTGGTACTTCTATGGCGGTTGATGCGTTGTCTCCGGGTTGCTCCAGATAGAGCTAAAACTGTTCTTCCGCGTTAGTGGGGTGGCGTTGCTGCAAATCCACCTCATCACCATTGCCTCGTCAGCCTCCGAATGGGCCCAGTTTCCACCGCTTATCATTAATCCTCTCTTCCTTGTTATCACCTCCCGTGCCAAGTAGTTTGTCCTTGCATGCGCGACAAAACACACCACCACCTGTCGAACCACCCTTTCAAGTTGAAATCAATCTTTCTTTAAGCTCGCGTTGCATCTTGTCAACCACACTTGGTACAACATGGTTGCAATCAAAGTCCCTTATGGAAAGCCCAACTTTGTGCTCCTCGGCATGAAAAGCAGGTCTTCCAGGTCATTCCACATCAGCTCCATATCCATTTCCGCCAGCCCCCTTCTCAGAAACGACACCACCCCATGCACCGCCGGGCAGTCGAGGAGACAACGCTCCGGTGTCATGTGGGCATACCACTTTGTTCCCTAGGAAAAACAGTCTCGTCCCCATTTGTAGATTCGTACTTTGTAATCGAAGCGGAAATTCACGTGCCAGCCATGGGTTGGCAAGCTTATCCCTCTGCTCGATGACTATGTCCCATTCAATCTCCCCCTTCTGTCCCTCCTATCTTCTCTGCTTCACCTGCGTGCCAGCCAAGCTAGCCAACGCCTTCCTGATGTCTTTCAGCAGCAACCTGTTGCCATCTTTACACGCCTCTACTAATTGCATCTTAATGTTCGCGCTCCCCATGGGTCCCAAAGCTTTGCCGCGCCGCAAGGAAATCTGCATCCCGCTCCGCAGACCGAGTCAAACGCTCACGTATGGCATCAAACGCTCGTCCTCCTCCATGTCACATAGTTTCCCCACCATCTTATCCTCCTTTGTGCCGACGATCTGCTAGTAGGTGAACTCCCCAGTAGTTCTGTTCCGTTGTCGCAACAATTTCACCGATGCAACCACTTCTTCTTTGGTAAGCTTCCCCAACACCATCTCTCTCTAGTTCAACGGTGCCGCTTTGAAAGCTGCCAATTCCCATTTAGCCTTGTCCTTGCTACCTATTTCCCTTGCCAGGGCGTCCAGCTCCTTCAGGGCGCATGTCTCATCCATCCGTTTCTGAATGAAGTCCCCTATCCTCATGCTTAGCAGCTCTGCTGAACCCTTTTGACTCCCGGAAGGGCTTGCGCATTTGAAAGTGATTCTCCGGTTGAACACCAGATGTTCGTGCTCCACTTCCCACCGACTTGTGGGTTCTGGCGGCTTGCAAAATGGGGAGTCCCAAAAAATCTCCAGCATCCCAGACTCCCTTTAAGCTAGTGTTTTTGCAGGAATTATGCGCGAAGATGATGTCAAGACCCAAGGGGATCTCCGCTACCTTCACCGCCATCCATGTCTTGATGGAGTCCGCTCTCAGCACCAGCCGACTGACATTCCGCACCACAATGTTGTAAACCCGCTGCCTGGGGCAGGTCACGCCCAGACCCCCGTTCTTTTGCGGCGTGCGGGCCAACTCATAGTTCCAGAGGATGAACCACTTTCCTTCCACTACTTCTCCTTTCGATATGAAGGTGTGGCATATTTTTTTTTATTTCTTCTAGAGTTCCTCCAGGACCAGGTTAACCTGCGCTAGAAAGAGGGAGATTGGGACGATGTAGCTGTTGATTATTGTCACCCTTGCTGACGTCATCAGGTGCTGCATCTCCCAATGCGCTAACTCTCCTTTTGCTCTGTCTAGCGCCTTGTTCCAGGAGGGGGTGGGGTCGCCGTTGGGGGTGATCCAGATTCCTAGCAGTCTCCCCGGCTCATCTGTGTCTGCCCACTTGTATTTCAGGTTCCGCGGCGCCCGCTTCCCTTGGTTCTTCCTTAACGGGAATACCACCGTCCTCCCTTGGTTCACCTTCAGGCCTGACACTTCACAAAAAAATTCCAACACCACTGTCGCTGTCTCCAGCTGTTCTTGCCCTTGAAGGAGGAGCGAAGTATCGTCGGCGTATCCCAGCTACGCCATCCGATCGATCCCTCACTTCCCCATGCCTATCCTCCTGCGGTTGATCCCCTGACACAATGAAAGAGGATCCACGCGAGGATCCCAGCTACGCCATCCGATCGATCCCTGCGGCTCCACTACGCAGAGAAAGAGGTAAGGCGCAAGCAGACAGCCCTACCGCACCCCTTTCTCCACCGCCACCTGGTCTCCCGTCCAGCCGTTGATGTGCAGCCTTATCCGGCGTCCTTGTGTAGCCCTTCCATTCTGGTTATGAAGTTCCCAGGAAGCCCCATGCCTCGCAGCATGCGGAAAATAATTATCCACGCGATTGAGTCAAAGGCTTTGTGAAAATCCACCATCCGTAAGAACCAGTCTTCTTTTCCACTGACACCTACTTCAATGGCGTCGCTACCATTTCCACCGCGTTTGCCTGCTGCCAGCCATGTATGAAACCATGCTGGTCTTCCAAGATAACCTCATGCAACACTTCTTTCAGCCTACTTGCCATCAATTTTGCCATTATCTTGTACACCATGCTTTACAACATAGTTGGCCGATAGTTCCCCAGGTCCTCTAGGCAGTTTCTGGCAGAGCTGCGTGTATTACTGCGCACCCGAGCCCGCTAGAGGTATATGTGACAGCGAGGGAGCTGCTGATGGTGTTTGAATTTCTTCCCAATGGGTCGCTGGAGACAAGACTGCGAGTTAAGGAAAGGAGTGCAGGGAAGGGACAGGGAAGCACATGGTGCCTGCTTGGGTTGCTGGGGGTGTGTGTGACGACGGGGGAACTGCTCATGGTGTTTGACTTCCTGCCCAATGGATCGCTGCAAACAAGACTGGGAGGTATGGGAACCCCAGGGGGTGAGTGTATTTGGGATGCAAGGACTGGGAAGCACAGGGTGGTGAGCATGTGTGCGACAGCGGGCAAGGTGCTATTGGTGTTTGACTTCTTACCCAATGGTTCGTTCAGGACAATGCTGAGAGGTAAGGGTCTCTCAGTGGTTGACTGTTTTCTAGTATGGATAAGGGTGGTAGGTAAGGGCGCATGGGTAAGGAAAAGACAGAGCAGAGGGTAAAGCTTTTGGGTAAGTGTGTACGCATGTGAATCACTGGTGACCCTGCCACCTGATTGGCCTTTCTTCACTCATGCAAGTGACCTGCTTGAATCCCCATGGCCCACCCGCATTTGCTCCTTTCCTTCCAGATATTACCACTTCAAAGCCACCTCCCAACTCCTTTTTCTGTCTTCCACCGGACCATATGAAACCCCCACTACTGGGATCTCCACGTTGGCATTGCATGTGAGGCAGCTACCAGGCTGGCCTTCCTGCAGCCTGCCTCTGTGCCTGGCACGTCAAAAATCGCAATTCCCAACCTCTTCATGGTGGACCATACAAAGGCCCCACTACCTTGGGATCTCCGCATGCGCGTCGTCTGTGAGGCGGCCACTGGGTTGGCCTTCCTGCACTCAAGCCCTACCCTGATAGCGACTCACTTCCCAGGAATGACAGGTTGATTTCCCACCTCCTGAGTGTTCTGTCCATACTAAATCTTACCAAACCCAGCTTCCCCGCTCCCCTTTCTTTCTCCCACCAGATCATACAAAGCCGCCGCTACCTTGGGATTTGCGCATGCGCATCGCGTATGAGGCAGCCACCGGGCTGGCCTTCCTGCACTCGTGTCGGCCGCCCATCATCCATCGGGACGTGAAGGCGGCCAATGTGCTGCTGGACGCTCACATGCACGCGCTGGTGAGTCAACGCTGGTCAACGCAAATCGTTGCGAGTCAACAGCAGTGTGTTGGTGTTATCGCGCATCATCCTTAGAGACGTGAATGTGGCAAATGTGTTGTGGATGCCAACATGCATGCTCTGGTGAGTCAACAACAGTTTACAAGGATCAATGCTGGTCAAAGGTTGGTCAATACTGAGCAATGGCATTGGGTGGGCCTTCTCGCCCACCATCCATCAGGATGTGAAGGCGGCCAACGTGCTTCCGGATGCCAACATGCACGCCCTGGTGAGTCAACGCTGGTCAACGCCAGTCAAAGGCTGATCGACGCATCAACTCCAGTCACCGCTGGTGTAAACCGGTGAACGTCAGTCAACGTCAGACAATGCTGGTCAATGCTAGTCAACGTGCAACGGGGTGATGGTCAATGCTAGCACCATCACCCCGTTCTCAACTACACTCTCTCACCTGGTTGTCAAGTGCATTGCACTCGTACAGTGACAGTGGGACTCTTTCTTTGCTCTGATCCGATTCTCCCCTCCTCCCCTCCGCTCTCCACCCTCCCCTCTTCCCCTTGCTCGCTTGCTTGTTGTCGATTTTTGCTGATCTAGTTAGCATCAGACCAGTATAATTTTGAGTCAACTCAAAACCCAAGGTGACCTCAGACCAGTACACTATTTGTGAGCCGTCTCAAAACTCTTCCCTCCTCCCCTCCTACCCCCTCCTCCCCCCTTCCTCCCCTACTTCCCACTCTCCCTTGTCCCCTCCCTGTCCCTGGTCTCGAATCCTAGCCTGGCCAAGGTGACTTCATACCAAGGTACACCCTTGGTGAGCTGCCCCCAAACTCATCCTTCCCCACTCCTCCTCCCTCTCCCCTGCCCCGTCGCCAGGTGTCAGATTTTGGCCTCGCCAAGGTGGCATCAGATCAGTACACACAGCCCATGGCGGTTACCAGCATCATGGGCACCTGAGGGTGAGTTGCTGCCCACTCGTTACAGTCACTCGTTACAGTCACTCGTTATAGGCACTTTCAGCCAAGGTGGCTCCAGATGAAAGGAGGAGTGTTTTGAGACGTCTCAAAACACTCCTTCTTTCACGTGGCTTCATTCTTTCTGGTTCCTGTAGATTTCTGCTAGCGTGGAAGCTGCCTTCCCGTTTAAAACGAAGACTGATTCAATCGAGGCTCCAACCTGTCGCAGCAGCTTGAACTTTTCCGAGCGACAAAGGTGGTGTTACCACCTTCTCGACTTCTCGGCCCTGGTTACCAACTTTCGCGAACATTCCAACAGAGTTCCGAAGATTTGGGTCAGAGTCCTGGACTCACCTCGAGATCTCACTCCATTTCCGCCTCGACATCTTCATCCATCCGCCTGGTTAGCTCAGCCTGATCGTAGAGTATTTTAGCTAGTTTGTTCATTACCGTCTCTTATTCTCAGGCTTGTTTGTACTGATGAAGGCTCGCAAGAGCCGAAACTAGTTTACTCAAGTTCTGATTTTAAGATTCCGTTTTCGTTCAAACTGGCCTACTAAAATACGATCTAGCATACAAGCTTAAACCAGGCTTCCCACTTTCATCTCATGGAGTTTGTTTCGCCGTCTTAATAAACATCCAAGTTGATGGACGTCAGACCTCCGCAGCCCACCTGTTTACTAATAACAGCACCTGCATCGAGTGATACGGTTGTGGCCAGAGGCTCTCCTTCCGACGACGATTCATCCGACTCAGAGGCCTTTCAGGAGGCCTCCCGCTTTTTCATCTTTCGCGCTACCAAGCGTCAGCGTGAGGAATCTGACAATTCCCTTCAGCTGGAAAACGGAAAGCTTGAGTTTACTCCAATTCCATATCGAACCGCTCATCCCAAGACATTACGCCGACAAGCATTTAAAACACCAAGAATAATAGCTTCCGCGTCACCGGCAATGGCTACTAACGCAGACGATGCAGGTGTCAATGTGATCGAGGGAGTTAACATCTCCCAACATACACTTGAAGCGGCTTTTTCGCCAGAAGGAAATAGACAAGATGCAGGTCCTATGCTTCAAGATCAAGGGCTCTGTTTTGGAAATGATCTATGTCCAACTCCTTTTAAAAAATGGCAACAAGAAGCTATTTCGAAAGCTATCAAGTCCTATGCTACATATCTCAGCCTCAAGCAACAGGTCGCTAAAATGAAGTTAATTGACGGCAGAAAGGAGTTGCTGCACAGCATCAGAACCAAAGCCGTTCAGTTTCAGACCACTAATGAGGCTATTAAGAAGCCCGCTGATGATAAGATCTCCTCTCTGCACAATGATGCTCTTCTAGAGCAACAGAAAGTCTTCATTAAAGCCAAGGAGGAGTTAATGACTACCGCTTTTAATGAGGCCAATGGTGCTGTTTCTCTTCTGGATGGATTAATTTCCAGTTATATTAACGGCATTAAAGCTATGGAAGAAGATTCCAGACGAAATAAAGCTATCGAAGTCATGGAATTCTTCATAGGGAAGCTCATCCAAGAAGTTATTGCCGCTGTCGAGATTCAGCAGACCAAGGCATTCATGGAATTTCATGAGAATCAGCGACTCAAGAATGAAGCAGAGATGGTTAAGAAGGCAGCTCAAGAACAACTTCAGAATATGGAGACAGAGCCTAGCATGAGGGAAGCTGCTAAGGATGTTGTTGACTCCAAACTTTCCGCAGTGCTTAAACGGCTTGAAAAACTTGAGATGCAGAATCAGTCATCAGCTAAAGGGAAGCAGCCACAGCAGCAGCAACAGCAGCAGCAGCAACAGCCGCAGGGACAGCAGCAGAAGAGGCAGCAGACCCAGCAGCAACAGCAGCTGCAGCAGCAACCCCAAGCACTTGCTACAGCAGAGGACAAAGGGGAAAAGAAGAAGAAGAAACGGTGGTACAAACCAAAAAACGGAGGAGGCCCCGCAAGGGGCCAGCGCAGCTAACAAGCAAGGAGTTAGCACTCTGCTGGTTCGGGCGATTGACCGAGTCTCAGGCTAAGACCCGGATCATCAACCACGGAGTGTTTAATTTGAGCTCCCACAGCCTGACACCTGCTGAACGAAGTGTTCTAGGGCTGGGACTCAAGTTTGTCTTACCTCATGCGCAGCCGTTTTCTCCTTATGAAATCTTTAACGATTTTTCCAATCTGTTCAGGTTTATAAAGCTACAGGAATTCTTTAAAGGAACAGGACGTACTGACAGTCGTTTTCGAGTTAGTAATCCCGGTTGGATGCCTGAAGAGGATGAGAAGCTGGAAGCAGTTTTCGAAGAAACCAGAAAGGATTTATCCTGCCTGTTATCTCAGACACCTATCCGTAAAGGGCCTTACCTTCCTAAGGGGTATTATAAAGCCATCCGCGGACTCGCCTCCAATTCAAACCTCATCATCAAACAAGCTGACAAGAACATGGGGATTACCTTGATGGACCGTACGGCCTACATTCAAGAGTGCCTAAATCATCTCCTGGACAGAAGCACTTACATTGAAATTGACACAGCTGCAGCAGATTTTGAAGATCCACGGTCTTCGGTTTTTGCTAAGTTGGTTGATATCCGTGCTAACCTTGGACCTTTACTCCCTAGATATTTGTGGACTTATTTTGCTCACCCTCCGCCAAAGGGCTGGAAGCCGGCCATCTTCTATGTCATCATGAAAGTGCACAAGAAGATCCCTGTCGGACGACCGATAGCAGCTTCCCATTCCTGGGTTACCACGAACGTCAGTCGCTGGTTAGACTCTGCACTCCGCCCGTTAGTTCTCCAACAACCGACATACCTGAGAGACTCACTCTCGTTGCTTCTTCACCTGGAAAAAACGCCTATGCCGAGGAAGTTACTACTCGCCACGTACGATGTCCAAGCACTCTATCCTTCTATTCCGCTACGAGAAGGAGTCGACGTAGTCCGTTCCTTTCTGGAGCGAGATCCACTTTGTTTCCCTAATGCACCAGTCATCGTGGCTTTGTTGGAATGGGTGATGTTTAACTCTTACGTGGATTTCGATGGTAGGATTTTTCGGCAGATCCAGGGGACCGCGATGGGAACCTCAGTCGCAGTTTGCTTCGCCATCCTCTACATGAGTCGGTTGGACGAAACACTCCGCGCTCGCATGGGTCCAAACGTCCCTCTTCTCCATCTCCGCTACATTGATGATGGTTTCATCTGTTGGGGAGGGAGTCAAGAAGGATTAGAGGATTTCTTAGCAGCCTTCAATTTGCTCCGACCTACAATCAAGCTTACATGGACGATTTCCGAGACTTCAGTTGATTTCCTGGATTTAGTCATCCATAGAGGACAGCGTTTCAACTGCTCAGGCCTACTGGACATCTCTACATTCCAGAAACCCAACAACACGTACCTCTACCTTCCATTCTCATCATTCCATCCACGGCACTGTAAGGAAGGTTTTATCCGCTCCGAGCTAAAACGCTATCTGCTCAGAAGCTCCAGTTTCGACGATTTCTGCAGCATGAAGCCGGCTTTTTTCAAAAGGCTACGCTCCATGGGATATCCGCATCATTTCCTGCTACCTCTCTTTACGGCCATCACTTTCAGTCAACGCGATGAACTCTTACTACAAGCTCTACGACGACAGCAGCTTCGATCTACTACGGGACCAGAATTGAGACCTCACGGACCCTTGGTGCTTAAGACTAGTTATACTCCTTACAGTAAAAGTCTACCCTTTGGGTTCGTTTTGAGACGTCTCAAAACACTCCTTCTTTCACGTGGCTTCATTCTTTCTGGTTCCTGTAGATTTCTGCTAGCGTGGAAGCTGCCTTCCCGTTTAAAACGAAGACTGATTCAATCGAGGCTCCAACCTGTCGCAGCAGCTTGAACTTTTCCGAGCGACAAAGGTGGTGTTACCACCTTCTCGACTTCTCGGCCCTGGTTACCAACTTTCGCGAACATTCCAACAGAGTTCCGAAGATTTGGGTCAGAGTCCTGGACTCACCTCGAGATCTCACTCCATTTCCGCCTCGACATCTTCATCCATCCGCCTGGTTAGCTCAGCCTGATCGTAGAGTATTTCAGCTAGTTTGTTCATTACCGTCTCTTATTCTCAAGCTTGTTTGTACTGATGAAGTCTCGCAAGAGCCGAAACTAGTTTACTCAAGTTCTGATTTTAAGATTCTGTTTTCGTTCAAACTGGCCTACTAAAATACGATCTAGCATACAACCTTAAACCAGGCTTCCCACTTTCATCTCATGGAGTTTGTTTCGCCGTCTTAATAAACATCCAAGTTGATGGACGTCAGACCTCCGCAGCCCACCTGTTTACGAATAACAGCACCTGCATCGAGTGATACGGTTGTGGCCAGAGGCTCTCCTTCTTCCGACGACGATTCATCCGACTCAGAGGCCTTTCAGGAGGCCTCCCGCTTTTTCGTCTTTCGCGCTACCAAGCGTCAGCGTGAGGAATCTGGCAATTCCCTTCAGCTGGAAAACGGAAAGCTTGAGTTTACTCCAATTCCATATCGAACCGCTCATCCCAAGACATTACGCCGACAAGCATTTAAAACACCAAGAATAATAGCTTCCGCGTCACCGGCAATGGCTACTAACGCAGACGATGCAGGTGTCAATGTGATCGAGGGAGTTAACATCTCCCAACATACACTTGAAGCGGCTTTTTCGCCAGAAGGAAATAGACAAGATGCAGGTCCTATGCTTCAAGATCAAGGGCTCTATTTTGGAAATGATCTATGTCCAACTCCTTTTAAAAAATGGCAACAAGAAGCTATTTCGAAAGCTATCAAGTCCTATGCTACATATCTCAGCCTCAAGCAACAGGTCGCTAAAATGAAGTTAATTGACGGCAGAAAGGAGTTGCTGCACAGCATCAGAACCAAAGCCGTTCAGTTTCAGACCACCAATGAGGCTATTAAGAAGCCCGCTGATGATAAGATCTCCTCTCTGCACAATGATGCTCTTCTAGAGCAATAGAAAGTCTTCATTAAAGCCAAGGAGGAGTTA